TAAACACAAAAGAAGTCCGGAGTTCAAATAAGTTTAAAAAACATTGAAGTGCCTGTGTAACAGATGAGTTCTCGTCCGAAACTCTGATACTCCGAAAGAGTTTGTCTAGTTTGTACACGAAGTGTGTCCAGTTTTTGCCGTGACCCTCTCTACTCTTTCGCACATGCTATGCGGGTGAAATGATGATACCATGCCAAGTTTCAACATTTTCAGAATTCATTTTGTAGTGATTTTCAATTTCACGGTCATTTAGCTCTCTAAACAATTAGATAAATGACCGAAAAACAATAAATGATGTCAGAACATGTTGGAAATTGATGACGTCGATTTGAATGCTGCATACTAAACACAAAAGAAGTCCAGAGTTCAAATAAGTTATTAAAAATAAAAAAGAGGTGCAATGCTGGTTAATTTGCTTCAAGCCATTCGGAATAGTGTAGACTGCACTGCACATAGCTCAGTGCAATCTATGCTATTCCGCAAGGCTTGAAGATAATCAACATGCAGGTGAGCATTGCAACTCTTCGTCATTGTCTGTGCACTCACGGCTTATAAACCGCTCATACTGCCTCTCTCTTCGCGAGGTGGGACTAAAAATCAGCTTACTAAGAAACTCTAGTACCGGTTCAGGGCATTAACCGGTACTAAAGGTCTTCGTGGGGGCCCCAGCCTAACCATAGCCTGGCACAGCCTCAATAGTACCGGTTCGTGGCATGAACCGGTACTAAAGGTTGCCCACGAACCGGTACTAATGATGCCCGCCTGCCTAGCCGTTGGAACCGGCACTAATGGTCACATTAGTGCCGGCTCAAATTCAAACCCGCACTGATGTGCTTCACATTTGACCCTTTTTCTACTAGTGTGTGTGCATGTTGAGATAAATAGAAGTGGTGATGATCAACTACTTAAGTACTCTCTCCATTCATTTATATAAGGTGTATTTATTTTTTGATAAAATTCCACAATGTAAGGTGCATTTCTTCGAATATCTCGTAATTCCTTTTTTGACCCTTCGGAAAGAAGGAAAATATCTCTCTCTTGATTGGATGTATATCTCCTTTTACGAAAAGAAGAAAAGTATATCTCTTCCGATTGGATGGATCTCTTCCCTTTCTGGCCTAATTGATTTACCTGCCGCTAACCAACGAATTAGCCAAGGATAATTTCATCCCAAATTCTCTAATTTTTTGTCCCTTGATCACCGTGCCGAAATAAATACACCTTACATAAAGGAACGGATGAGGTATATCGGTTTTCAACAACTAGCCGCAGTTTTTTTTAGAATAAGTAGCAACAATAGCTCAGGAAGGCCCTGGAAAGGACCGGTCGCACCAAAGAGTGTGTGTATACTAGTGTTTTTTCCTATTTTCTTTCAAACTACAACCCACTTCCCTCCAAACCACCAGAGTAGGAAAAATACAAATTAGTACATATCAAGATGGAATATGAAGGTATATTTGTGAATGCTCATGATCAATAAAGTTGCAATCTAAATTTAAAGTAAAGCTAATTTTTTTATAAAGTGTAAACTTCATAGTTTGCCTTAAATGATACTACCTAATTGCTCGTGCGTTGCAATAGGGGCATACATATTCTAGTTGTTCAACATCAGTCGTGTTCGACCTAATCTTACATCATTCATATTCTAGATTTTGATAAGATTTGATTTGAATTGAGTATGAGTAAGAAGGAACATATTGATTTAGGTGAGGTTTTGGTAAGATTTTATTTAATTCAGGTCGGACTAGGGGAAGGTAATTTTTTATTTAGTTGAGGTTTTTGTAAGATTTGATTTGATTGAACTAATTCAGGACGTGGGAGAAGAGGGGACGTGGGAGGGGGGGGGGTGTGGAGATGAAGGCGAACATACAACGACTAGCTATCCTTTAATAGCAGAGATGATGAATCTTTGGAGATGTATCATACAACAAAACAATGTACATTCCAAGTTTTATGAAGTCAAAATAATATGAGCCCATGCCAATTTTCACAATTTTCTGGACCATATTAAATGATGCATGTTACATGACGTTTTTCAATTAATGCGTGATGACATTTTATTTTAGTGGTCTAGGAAAAAACATCAATTTTTATTTTAATGTATTAGCATAACCATTTCTAGAATTAAAATGCTCCTCCTTTCAAAATAAAATTCAATTTCATATTCAGACTTTTGGGTTCTGAGCCTAGCCTTTCGACGAAAATCTGGAGCCCAAGCCCAGTCCAAACACCGAGTTGTTTCTGCCAAGTTTTTAGCTTAGTTTGATCTCATTGAGAAAGAAGATACGACGAGCTTTCCTTCTATCTAAGGGTTAGTTCTTTTGAGATTTTTCTTGAAAATAATCAAAGCAAATATTTTTTTAAAGTTTAGTTCAACTTAATTTTGAAGACCCCCTTTATTCCAGGGGAAAGATGCTTACTGAGCTTCTCCATTAGTTATACCCTTTAAAAAAAATCATTCTTTGTTTAATTTACAAGCCAATTGCCACCGTATTCCGAACGTTCACCCACCCTGACCTGATCCTCTGCCCAACATCCCTATCTTCCATCACCGCTCGCCTCTCCCCAATTTCGGCCGTTGCCTCTGCGTCTCCATCATCTTCTAGTATGAGCTTCGGTTGCCGCTCCCACCTTCCGATTGCACCACACTCTACCATCTGTCGTCACATTCTTCACCACAGTCCACATCTTTCACGACTCGCCCCGGCCATCGCAGAATCTTTATCGCCAACGATGCTTCAATCGTATCCCAAGGCCGACAAAGGAGACGTTAAGTCGAGGAGTCAAAGCCCAACGAAACACTCGTTCAACCGGCCGCGGGGCCACAATCTAAAGCCGCCTCTAGTTACATAGCCCACAACCATCTCCCAAGGCACTTCGGTACCCGAGCCGCAACTAATCGCGACGTTGCCCCTAACGTCTCGTGGAAACCACCGCAAATTCACCTTCCCAAGCACACGACAAGCACCGGGCGTTCTCTCCCTCCTTTCATTTCAAAACACACCGCTGCGACACCCTACGGAGACCCCAGGGGCATTTCATGCCTTTTATTTGACACTCCAGGGGCATTTTAGACTTTTTCCTCACCTTAGAGAGCCGCTCTCGCCAAACAAACCGCTTACATCAGTTTTGTCGCCGCGGCCGCTTTGGTGGCGCAGCCGCAGCAGGCCAAAGCCGGAAAAAAGGCCGCGCCGAGAAAGCGGAGGCACGTGCTTCCCCTCCCCCGTCCCCGGCCTTTCCCGGGTTGGACTTGCCCACTCTCTCTCCACCCCCACCCGCTCCTCCTCCCCGTGCCGTCGGCCGGCCGCGTCCTCCCCCGCCGCGCGGCCTCGCCCCCCACCTACCCGGATCTCCGGATCTGGGTGCCATCGGCGCCCGCGGCCCCGCCCTCTCCCCTTCGGCTTGCCGCCGCCCGCCCCACCTCGGATCCCGGCGTCCCGCCCCGCTGGTGCCTCGGCATCGTCGGGCCCTCGTAGGCTCCCCCCCTCGTCTTCAGGGGCCGCCTCGCCGTCCTCGTCCCCGAGGGAGCCGCCCCTTTGCTCCTCGCCTCGCCGCGGCCGGGCTGCAAGGTAAGGTTAGTTTCCCCCACCCGGAGCGTGTGTATGCTGGACGGTTCCTGGTTCGGCGTCGATTAGTGATTGGAGGTTGGACCGCGTGCCAATTTGACTGTGCGACCGCTTCCAGTCTGTTCCTACCAGTTGAAATGCTTAATTGCTAGTACAAAGTATAGTAGGCTATGGTCAAGGTGAATTGTATTATTCTGATCAACCTGGGTGATCTGGAACAAGGCTCTATAGCCTATAGCATAGTGTCTGCAAGCAAATGGTGCGCAAGGTGAATGATGAAATGCCGGGCAAACCATTTAGGCCAGTGGTTGATCCAGGTGGACTCTATTCACTGATGTTATTGTTGAGTGCTGACTGACCTATGGAATGCTGTTTTATGTCTGTCTGTGCAGTGCTGTCTGGGAGGGTGTCAGGGATGTCGTCGTCTTCGTCGACCGTGGTCTATGAGGGGTGGATGGTCCGGCATGGCCGCCGCAAGATCGGCCGCTCCTTTATCCACACGCGCTACTTTGTGCTGGAGACCCAGCTTCTCTCGTATTTCAAGCGCAAGCCTCAGCACAAGATGCCCAAGCTCCCCATCAAGTCCCTCCACATCGATGGCAACTGCAGGGTCGAGGACAGGGGCCTCAAGATGCACCATGGCCATGTATGCATCTCCTCTGTCACATGCTTGCAGTTCCTTCCTCTCAGTATGATCTTTGGCATTGCACACTGATTATTTCCCTTGATCAATTATTATACTGCAGATGCTTTATGTCTTAAGTGTCTACAACAAAAGGGAGAAGCACCATCGCATCACGGTACCAAAGCCATCCATTCTATTCCTTATTCCTCTCATCATACACTTAACCATAATAATCAGCTTGTTTTGTTATTGCACATCCATTTAAGCTATCAACCTACTGTTATTGCAATTGCTGTTGAAATGCCACTAGACTATTACTACTTTATTTGCCGCTGCTGTATGATTTATTCATTTAGAGGAACTTCTTCTATTGGCAAGAAAAAGAAACATGCCCTGCAAGTCTGCTGAGTTTTCCAAATGTGAATCCTTAATAATCCTACAATTCATGTCCTTGATGTTAAGTTGACGCTACCTTTCTGTAACTTATACCAGATGGCGGCATTCAATATCCAGGAGGCTCTAATCTGGAAGGAGAAAATTGAGATGGTCATCGATCAGGTTTAACATTTGCAGATCCTAAATCTCGCATATAAATGGTTATAGTAACCGCCCGAGGTTCTTTGTTGCTCAAGGCATCACCAATTAAAAATATGCAAACATACACAATATTGGCACCCCTATTACTGCTTATGAAATTAATCAGGAGTCTATGACAAAGGCCACTTCTCCCTCCGATCCATATTATTTGTCGCTGATTTAGTACAAAGACAATTACTATGGATTGGAGGAGTACTTATTTTTCCTTCACAGCTTGAGAATAATCTATTTCATTGCATACGCACAAATGCACCTAAATTGATTCTTCTAATCTAAACTGATGCAGCAACAAGGTGTAGTGTCGCCCGATGGTAATACAGCCTTTAGCTCATCGCAGCAAAATGCTGGTGTAGAAAATGGAAGGAAATCTTCTTCCTCTGATCGTGACAGTCAGTAAGTGGCAGATAACTGCGTTTCATTTTCCAGTTACGCCTTCTGTTTGCACTCTACGTGTGTTGTACACTTCGTCCATTTAGTTCCTTTACACTAGTTTTTCTGTGCACTTCTATGTATACTTTCTGTTGTTATAATATAACTAGCTTTCTCCTGAGAACTCATGTGTTGATATTCTTATACAAACTTGCCAGCGTTTTCTTCTTACTAATTTTAAAATGCTATGGACGTGTCACTTGTCTTCCTGTCAGTTGACAACTACTCCCTCTGTAAACTAATATAAGACTTCTTAGATCACTACCATCCCTCTGTAAACTAATACAGGACTTTTTAGATCACTACTATCCCTCTGTAAACTAATATAAGACTTTTTAGATCACTACTATCCCTCTGTAAACTAATATAAGACTTTTTAGGTCACTAAGGGAGGAGTATTCTAGCCAGCACATGATTCACTGTGATAATTTTCTTCGTTGTTAATAGTTTTTGTTAGTGGTTGAGGAATTTGATTCTGTACTTCCGTGGTATATTTACATGATATCTGTTCTGAAATCCTATTGCATGTTCTACCTTGTCAACATTTTACATGGTCGTAGTTATTTACTACATCTGTTCCAAACTATAAGGTTTATTTGACTGCCCAAATTCATGCTTTTGATCAACAACTAGTCCAGTAATATGTAGTTTATCCTCCACAAAATGGACACCATTATATTTATATTCAAAAGCACTTTCATATGATAGTGATTTTATAACCATCGACTAAATATTGTATGAGATAGTTATGGTCAAGGCATGAATTTGGACAGTCAAAATACACCTTATATTTGGAACGGAGGGACCATTTGGTTATTTCTGTAACTTATGACACTATGAACCTAGGATTTAATCAAGTCTGAAGAAAGAAGGGAACATGATTTGGAACCGTTTTAAATGCCTTAATAATTTGCTTATAAAATATTCACGATAAACCCTTTGTAGCCCTGTTCTAAAAAAATCTGAACTCTTCAAGTTTGTATAACTGATACACCTCATGCATGTCTGGTGATTCTTCTGAGTAACTTTGTTTACATTTGTTCGATCGTAACATGGTAGAATATTGTTTGTTGTAAAATGACGGTTCCCTTAATTTCTTTTATCAGGTATAGTCATGAAGAGGAAGAAGAGGAGGAGGACAATCACCGATCATTGATGCGAAGAACAACAATTGGGAATGGTCAGTGACATGGTCTGTTTGTTAATTGTTCCGTCCATATATTTTTTTCGTTCCAGTACTTAAAGGATTGCTATATTCTTGGCATTTGTAGGTCCTCCGGAATCATTGCATGATTGGACTCGTGGAAACGATACAGGAATATCTGATCAGGGAAGCCCTGCCCAAGTTTTCTCTAGAGGACACTGGCGCCTTGTCAGATGCCAGAATGGCAAGAACTTTCTTTGTCCCTTGCTTTGGTTCTCTGTTGTAACCAGGCTGCTTGTTTGATGGGGTGTTAAATTTGAACTTTACTTCAGGTCTCCGCATTTTTGAGGAGCTCCAGGATGTTGATTACCTTGTAAGTTGGTGGTTGTGGGCATGAACTGGTAGTTTGAATATTTTGGCCTTGACCATTCGTGCTTGATGCTTGTGTACCTTTCATAGGCAAGGAGCTGTAGCAGAGCAATGAAGGCTGTTGGAGTTGTTGAGGCTTCGTGTGAGGCTATATTTCAGCTTGTGATGAGCATGGACACCACCCGCTTTGAGTACATTTTCTGTTGTTTTGATAAATCAACTCATCAATTATGTGTTCCTTTTTCCTTACAAAAATTTTCTTACTGTTTTTCTCTTGTTATTTAAGGTGGGACTGCAGTTTCCAGTATGGCAGTCTAGTGGAGGAGGTCGATGGCCACACAGCAATACTGTACCATAGGCTACAACTGGATTGGTTTTCAGCGTATGTTTTATCTTCTGTTAGAACCTTCCTTCTCTCTGTGCTGCATAAGTGTGAACCCATTGGAAAGATGGAAGCCACAAGATATCTTTCTATGATTTACAAACAAAGATGTCATTATCGTATATTCTTAACATATGCCTACTTACTTTGTTCTGCAGATGATACTTGTAACTCTTATTTAGGCTAATTATGTCAATTTATTGGTCTAAATTAATTGAAATGTAGCCCAGTGGAACACAGACTAATACAACTTAACATTTTCTGATATTGTGCCTTGAAGATACAGAGGAACTATTATTTTTTTCATCATTAAACCAGATATCTCAGTTTGATGAATTCCAGCCATTTATTTAATTACTGAAGTCACGTCTTTGATGAACATCTTAACAGATTTACTTGGCCTCGTGATCTTTGTTATGTACGATATTGGCGGCGTAATGACGATGGAAGTTATGGTTGGTATTCTTGTAGTTCTACACATCTCATCATGTGTACATGCACTGGACACATGTAAACCTTTTCTCATGAGTCCTATTGATGATCGCATCTTGTAATTTTTGTTTGCAGTTGTGCTATTTCAATCAAGAGAGCACCCAAACTGTGGTCCACAACCAGGATTTGTTAGGGCACACATTGAGAGTAATGAACCGACTCTGATGAATTCAATACATCATTTGCATGTATGTTGATTTACTGTAGGTATCAAATTTCTGATGTGTAACATTTTCTTTTTAATTTTAATTTAGGTGGTGGTTTCAACATTTCTCCACTGAAATCCCGTAATGGGAGAGTCCGAACACAAGTACAGCATCTTATGCAGATTGATTTGAAGGGTTGGGGGGTTGGCTACTTACCTTCATTTCAACAACATAGCCTCCTTCATATGTTGAACAGCGTTGCCGGTACAATTTTTTGTGTTTGGAATAACCTTCTGGACAACATTTCTAATATATTCCTATTAGTTTTCTGTGCCTTAATTCCTAAGCAGTAGTGCAGTCTCCAAATAAATCTGAGTGTCATTTGATTGGAACTAGTAAATGCGCACGTGCAACGCACGTTAATATTTAGGCAATATATTAATTCCATGCGGATATTAGGTATGCTATTTGTGTGTTAATTCTGTGATTAGTGCAATATTTGGTATGATATTAATTGCACGTTAAACACGTTTAACGCTCGCCATTGGAGCAGTCTAGGTCGTTGGATTAACTTAGTTCGATGGTCGAGATCTGTTGGATCTGCCCCTTTGGGTCTTTTTATATTGGTATAGATGGTATTATTATTTTAGACTGCTAGTGCTGTCCATACTTTTGGGTAATTCATTTTAATTGACTTGGAGTTGAGCGAGCCGTCTCTCTCACAATTGTCAGATTATAAAGAACACTTGAATTTTGATCCTGCCTAAATGACGCCATGCATTCCTCCCTGCGTTAATTCCTTGATGCTGTGTATGCACGTCATCATGTTAAGCATATTTTTGCACAAGGAATTGACATTTTTATAGTATAGGACTAGTTCTTGCAGAAGCAGTACTAAATTTTACGCTACAGCCAAATATTGAATATTTGTTCTAGGGTACAATTTTTTGTCATCCTGTGCTAGATAGAAGTTGGACTGTCATCTTCTCATCCATGATAACAATCTTTCACACATGCGACATCTTAGTTTACTCTATAATAATGGCCAAATGTTCAGTTCCTATTCAATGTATCTTTACTCCTATAAAGATGCAATTGGTAGTGGTGGTCCATTCACCTTTTGTTTACACCACATATGTTTGCGATGAGAGCGGATATGAATATTTTTGATATTGCATGGGTGGTACAATTAAAGATCTTAAACATGTACAATAGTTTTTAAAACTTTAGTAATGCACAGGCGTTGTGCGTGCCAGTGTGGGTATGGGCATTGTGCTAGTATGGATATACCACTGCTTGTCCTGTGCTAGACTGAAGTTAGATTTCTGTGATGTTTTCTTGCATAACAATGTTTTTTTTACATAGGGGACATTTTAATGTATTCCATGAAAAATGGTAAAGTTAGATGACAACAAAATGCAAATAACTTTGGTTTCTTTAGAGTTTAGAGTAATCTAGATTAGTTAATCTTTGGTTAAAAGAACTGGGAGCACACGTGCCTTGGTCCACACTATTACTTTCCTCATAATACCCTTGTATGGATGGCTATATTTAACTTATACTCCCTGCTACTTAAGTGAGTGCAAGGTGTCAATAAAATCTCTTCTGTCCTGGGTGAATGAAGTGGCGATGTTTGCGATAAATCATGTTAAGTCTATTTCTACCTTAGGTCTTACCAGGTCATCACTGTAGGATTCTTACAGCTTTCGTAGCCTTCTCATTCTGCATCATGTGGTAGACTAACATTCACCGGCCACGGCATCTGTGGCCTTTTCTTTATCTCGAGAACCAATAATTAAGCCTACTCCCTCTGTTCACCAATATAGGACGTTTTAGACTGACCATGCAAGTCTCTAAAACGTCTTATATTAATGAACAGAGGAAGTACTATTTATGCTTGCTAGATATTTGCAATAAGAAACTTGTGCTGTATGATTAACTCGAATTGTTGTCTAACCTTGGAACCATTTAGCATATAAGATGTACCTTGGTATATATTTTTTGAAGAGATTTTTGCATATATTTTATTGTCTCAGGTGCTACTTTGGGTACCCCCTTTCATTTGTTTTTACACAGATGTCCAACATGAATTATGATATTCTGGGTAGTTGATATATGCTTTACATTTTGCCTCCTTTTTACTGCTGCCAGGGCTCAGGGAATGGTTTTCACAAAGTGATGAAAGTCAAATACTTCCTAGGATTCCTGTTATGGACAATATGGCCCTATCGGTTTCTTCTAAGAAAGGCACAAAAACACAGGATAATACTGTGCAAACCAGCCTTCCGGCGGATGAAAGTAGACATTCAACGGTTGAGGAGGAGTCTGACGAAGATGAAGAATTCCAGTTACCTGAATCTGAGCTAGAGGTTAATGACTTGCTTATAATTTTTCTGGTTCCTCTCTCCTTGCAATATTAAAATAATCTTTTATTTTTTATGCAGCCATCAACTCGTGAGCTCGATGCAGATGGTAAACTACTAGGTATACTGTAATTCCATCTGCCGTGTGGTTATGTATACAACAGGACTAGTTTGCATATAACATGTTTCTTATTACAGGGTTGGATGAGGAAGATTCAGGTGAGATTGATTTTTCTGGATTTTCTGGAAATTTACGCCGGGATGACCGTGATAACAGTCGTGATTGTTGGAGAATATCTGATGGAAATAACTTCAGAGTGCGAAGCAAGAACTTCATATATGATAAAAGCAAGGTTCTGATCTTTCGCAGCAGTAGACTGCACTCATCATCTTGCTAGGAGTGTTCCATAATCATTAATCATTTTGGCTGTTTTCTAGACTCTGTTCGTTATGAATATTTACTATTTGTTTATAGGTTCCTGCTGGAAAGCCTCTTATGGAGCTTGTTGCTGTTGACTGGTTTAAAGACGTGAAACGAATGGATCATGTTGCTAAAAGAAAAGGATGCGCTGTTCAAGTGAGTTCATATTTCATGCTTGATATTATTGATCAGCCTGCAGTAAAGAAAGTAAATAACCATACGGTTGTGAAACTGGACTGTTGATGTGATTAGCATGTCAAGGACAAAACATTGCAGCCTTTGATGGTTATATTGTGCATATTGTGTGCCAGGGTTGTACACGGGAGTCATTTTTAACACCAGGATTTCTTTTTTCATCCTTTTCTATTCGGTGGCAAACACTCTATTGTGGTTGCTTCTTTGGGTGAAGATAACAGCTTTGCATGTTGTCGAAAAAGGTTAAAAAATAAGAACACCAAGTCAAAGAGCCATACTTTATTCATTACTATAACACTGTACAAATGTATACCTTTCGTATGTATATGGTAAAGATTTTCTGTTGCAGACTCTTCGTTTTGTTGATGTCTTATGTTGTCTAACCATGAATATGTTTAATGAGGTGAAGCATGTCACCAGTCACCTGCTAGTTGATCCTTTTCTTCTTTATAACCTGCTAGTTGATCCTTTTCTTCTTTATAACCTTTTTGCTTCTGTTGTAGGTTGCTGCCGAGAAGGGTCTTTTTTCATTGGCAATAAATCTACAAGTAAGCATTCCTATAAAATTACTCCCCTCCCTTTTCACTATAACTGTTCACACCCTCAGTAGTCTGTTTCAGAATACCTGTGTATTCAGGGAACCAAGGGTTCGGCTTATTGCATATATTCTTGCCTAAATGCTGTCAGATGGATTAAGTTTGATATAGTATGCCATATAATAGAGGTATGCATGGTCATTTCTTATTAGGGCTTCTTTGGTTCGCATGATTCTGAAAATGCAGGAATAGCAAAAACATATATTACAAAATCATGTCATCTCGAATCCTATAGGATCAAATGCCAGAGGAATTTCACCACAGTTTATTTTAGTACGCCATGGGAAAAAAACATAAATATCTTTCCAGTAAGTTGGACTCAGTAGATCATGGACCTTAAAGGGAGTGGCACCACATCTCCTTGCTCCTGGCACTGCCACTGATGTCTTGTACCATCATTGTTTGTCCTTACCGTGACCCAGCAACTGTAGATGATACTGCATACCAATTTGCTGCGTACTGTTGCATTTCGCATATAGTCTGTTGCTGATTAAGTTTGCTATTGCAGGTTCCTGGCACAACTAACTATAGTATGGTTTTCTACTTTGTATCAAAGAAACTGATACCGAACTCCTTGTTGCAACGTTTTGTTGATGGCGATGATGAATTCCGCAATAGTAGGTTCAAGCTGATCCCATCTGTACCGAAGGTATGGGTCTCGCCATCCTTAACGCTCTATGAGGTTTGATGCGAAACATAAATAAGAAATGCTCTATTTGGTAGAAGAGTTAGTAGAACAGAGGGGAGGGTAAGATGTGTCTTGATCCCTTGCTGGTGTGGTGGGTTATAGTCCGTGTGTCTAACTACACATCTTGCATTTCAGGGCTCATGGATTGTCCGCCAAAGTGTTGGCAGCACACCGTGTCTCCTGGGCAAAGCAGTTGACATCACCTATATCCGTGGTGCAAATTATTTGGAAGTAAGATTGCAGTGTATCTTTTATTTCTCCCTTAGGGTTCCTTTCTTTTTAAGTGAAAATGAGGACATGAGTTTGCCCTGTGTTTCTTAAAAGATTAGGGAAAGAGCTGGATCATGATCTGGCTAAATTGATTGGTGTCTTACGGTACAGTGTGATGATTGACCCGTGCAGATAGATGTGGACATAGGTTCGTCTACGGTGGCAAATGGAGTCTTGGGGCTTGTGTGTGGCGTGATCACGACGCTAGTTGTGGACATGGCTTTTCTTGTCCAGGTACATACATTTGCCATCTAAGAAATGCTCTCTCAATCACTTCGTTGATGCAGGATGTAACCGTTGGCTAAACTGACTATTGTTGGCAGGGCCACACATACGAGGAGCTCCCGGAACGACTGATCGGTGCCGTTCGGATGTCGCACATAGAACTATCATCTGCGATTGTTCCTGTGCTTGAGGATTAACCAAATTACACTACTATTGCTCATTTGGTCCAAGTGATGCTTGCAACGTCGGCATCCATCTCCTCTATTTCAGTCTTTACAAGACACAGTAGGGTATACATATATACAGGCAGGGAACCAAGGGTTGGCGCTCGTGCCATGCCAACGACATACTGAACGCGGAGAAGCAATTAATTTTTATGTGTATGTAATTATGTATTGCACATCATAATTCGGTGATGTGATGGCAATCTCGTAGGTGTTAGAATTGTGTCAGCAAAGAAAAAAAGAAGATACCGAAATTAGGGCTAGGAGACTGGTCGAGGCCCAGGTGAGGGCCAGTTCAGCGCGAATAAAAAAGCCATGTGTTTGCTTTGTTTGGAACTTGTAGGAAAGGGGCTGAGATGGCAGTTCCAAGTTCAAAGTTGAAACCACACAAGCCATTGTTCATGTACTAATATGTAACTTGAGACTGCAATATAAGATCATGCCACTGGTTTGCAGGATGCTTACGTGGTCTATTCCTTTGGAATGCGAATCAACTTGTGGTTGAGTTGGTTAGGTGGACAGTGGTATCCCCAACCCACCAGGGTTTGAACCCTGGTGCTCGCATTATTCCTGGATTTATTTCAGGATTTCCGGCGATGCGCTTTTAGTGGGAGGAGACGTTCGCATCGACGACGAGGCGTCTACGGTGACTAGCGCTTGTGTCTGTACTGATGCTTAAAAAAATATTCATCTATTCCTTTGGAATTTGGGTTTGTTATGAGCCGATCACTGATCCATATATCTTTATTTTCTTGTTGTAATTATAGGTACCTCTATAGTTGGACGAGTAGATGCCATTCCTGCTATCAAATGGCGCACATGCTGCTGGGTCTTGTAGCGACAATACAAGATCTTATTTGGGTCTCCAAAATAGATAGCAGAATGAATACTAGGGAGCTCTTGCAGCGTCAAAAGTTTTTTCATCCCTGATTACACTTGTGTCGTGTGTGGTTTAAGGGTTCTTTTTCACATTTTAATTACTCAAAATGAGAATACACCCGACCTCTACATAGTTAGGATGCCCACAACCAACAGTAATGCATCCATATATAAAACACGTCGGCAAAGAGCAAAGTCTTACAAGACCAAAGCGATGCCTAAGCAAGGGGAAAAACCCCAAAGTGATCAAAACAGCGATCGAGAAACTATTACAACGATCATATCCGCACCAACCATTTCTTAACACCATAAGGACCACAAGGTTCTTGAACGACAACGCTGGTTCTTCAACTACAACGCCTTGAGGAAGGAAGCGAACGCCGAAGCACCACCCTCACCAAATTCGACCATAAAAGGCAAAATTCTAGATCTTCACCTTGAAAAGAACAAGTCTGAACATATCCGAGCAATGCCTTCAATAAGGTAGCAAAAACGTCACCATTGCCAGATTTAACCAACTCACGTCATACCTATGGTTTTCACCCCGGAGCTCAAAACCAGGTATCGAGAAGCACCACTCGAAGTCAACATGTGTTGTCGCCACCACTTTTCTACGATCCCAGCAGCTACATGCGCTGGGCTAGAAATAACACCATCATCATTGGATAACTTTTCCCTCCGCGTCAAGCCATCGTACATAGCTCGAATTCACTTCCGAAGGCAAACTAACTGGAGTGGGAGTTACCAAAATCCATAAAGAAGCCTTCTGCTTGCATCTGGAGGGAGGAACCATCAGCATAGACCTTTCAGTGATCATCGTAATCCGCAGCGAGGGTGACACTTTAGTCCTACTACATGAACCAGCACTGACGGTGGAGCACACCACAATTGACTACCACCCCATCGGAGATAGCCCTACCCAGGTTCATCGGCCCGGGGGACGCCATGGATGGATCTACACCTTGCAACCGTCGTGCGCCATCACAGACATCCACCAAGCCCGGCTACGCGTGACGCCCGTTATGCATGTCGTACAGCCACAACATGCTGAGCAGAACCCGTCGCGTACAGTTGCCACCGACACCACACACGGCTTGGCCCAATCTGCCAATGAGCCGTTTCGGGGCCACACCACTGTACAGGTGCACCAGATCGAGATGCAGATCTAGACGTCTGACTTTTTTTTATGAAGCATTGACAAATGTCCAGATAGCTTGCACAATTTCATCATGAGATGACATTGATGGAAAACATGGCAAAAAAGAAAAATCGACGCTCCAAAATGCGTTTGAAAATAACATTTTAGATCATCGATTCTTTTTTTGTCACGTTTTCCACGAATGTCATCTGGTTATTATGAAAATTTGCAAGTTATATCAAAACATTAGGCACGATGGCAGGGCACGGGAGTGAGCAATGGCTGGCCGGAGAAGAAGGCCTGGAGGTTGCCGATGGTCTGCGCGCGCAGGTCCGACCTGGATTCCTGCGTCAGAACCGCCACGTGAGGGGTCAGCACCACATTGTCCATGGGCAGGAGCTCCGCCGGCACCTTCGGCTCGTCCTCGAAGACGTCGAGGCCGGCGCCGGCGATCCTCCCCTCCTTGAGCGCCGCCACCAGCGCCGCCTCGTCGACATTCGCCCCTCGGCCGACGTTGATGAGCACGCCGTCCTTCCCCAGGGCATCCAGCACCTCCCTGCCCACGACGTGCCTCGTCTCCTCGTTCAGCGCGCAGGCAACGACGAGCACGTCGGACGCGGCGGCGAGGCCCCGGACGTCCGGGAAGTAGGTGTAGCGGCGGGACGAGCCCTCCTCCTTGCGCCTCCTCGAGTTGTACAGGATGACGCAGCCGAAGGCTTCGAGCCGCCTCGCGACGAGCGAGCCGATGTTGCCCAGGCCGATGATGCCGACGCGCTTGCCGCCGAGCTTGGAGCCGAGTGGCCGGTAGTCGCCCTGGGCCGGCCAGGACCCGCGCCTGACGTACCGCTCCGCCGCCGACACGCGCCGCTGCACGTCGAGCAGCAGGCCCACGGCGTGGTCCGCCACGTCGGTGGAGTAGACCTTCCCGGCGTTGGCGACGGCCACGCCGCGGCGCGCGCACTCGGCCAGGTCGATGTGGTCGACGCCGGTGCCCGTGGTGACAACGCACCGGACGGACTGGACGACGTCGAGGAACGGGGCGTCCACGCGTATGGCTCCGCCGCCCACCACCAGCACGGCGCGCGGGGGCTCGGGGGCTGCCGCTGCCGCGGCTAGAAAAGCCGGGAGGGGCTCGCCGGACGCGTGGAAGTCCAGGAGGAGGAAGTGCTCGTGCAGTGCGGCGGCGAACGGCGCGTCCAGCCGGCGGAGGACGAGGACGGCCGGGTGGGCCGCTGGTTTGCGGACTGTGGGTGCCATGGCGGGGGAACTAAAGCCGTCCATGCTGTCCCTAGCTTGTATATGTTGGATGCGAGGAGAATGGCGTTTTGGAGGCCTTTATTTTTGAAAAATTCAAATTCAAACTTTTATGTTTCAAAAAATTCTGAAAAAATATGCGTGTATGTAAGGACGTAACCATATGTGTGTAAAATTTCATGATGAAATACGTTGAAATACGACCTGCATAAAAAAGACAAATTCATGGTCTATGAGGATGAATAGTATCATGTGTTAGACATCATCAGATTTATCTTTTTTGCACAGCCCTCAAAGTATTTTGCCATAAAAAATTACGCACATGTGTGTTATACCTTCATGTATATCTGTACTTTTTTTCAGATTTTTTTGAAATGTAAAAATATGAATTTTGATAAAATTTGAAATTTGAATTTGGTGACCTCTAGTGAGCTCGGTCACCAAAGACATTTTCGGGGATGCGAGTGCCTATTATTTACACTTCTTTTGTAAAAAACTTACAAGATACCATTCCATGCAAGGAAACTTTTGTCGGTAAATTAACTTGTGGCCCAGCGTCATGATTGCACATTGTGGGGACAGCAAATGCCATGCCTACATGTTACTCTGTAGAAGTGTCGGTGGCTATAACACACGACTTTACTTTGTGTAGGGACTAAATTTTAGTATGAACCGTATCTTTATCACATGCTGTCATTTTGTTTTCATGCATGTTTAAGTTAGGAGATTGTTCCACTTTGCACCATTTAAAAATAGTTAATTTGCACTTTCAACACACTAAAGATGAAACCCTTCCATTGTGTGTGATAAACCTACTAAAAAATACGTGTGTGTCCTATTTAGTATGGTTAAAGACTCAAATGTATGAACGCGTGTAGTATTTGGCGTGATAAAAGGACTCAAAAGTGTGGATATGGCTTCTCGCATTTCACGACTTTTACAATGCATTCTAATGAGAGGGAAATGGTGGTAGTTGGGGCAATACTTATTCATTGGCATGGTATTTTTTTGTCAATTAGATGATGTTGTGGTGTAGAGGTCAATACAAAGAGATGCAATAGTATTTAAATCATAAGTATATAATATCACAAGGAAGAGCCTTGGAGCGAGAAGAAAAATCATAAGAGAAATGGAAAATAATGGGCAACAAATGTTAGTAAGTAGGCGATTCTTAATTTTAGTTGATGAATAAAACATGAATTGCATGTCATTCAC